GTGCGGGTGTGTGTACACAGTGCGAGTGTGCAGGTGTGTGTGCGTGCTGTGCACGTGTGTGCATGCAGTGCGTGTGCAGGGGTGCCCTTGTGAGTGCACAGAGGGGTGTTGGTGCAGAGTGTGTGGTGTCTCAGGGTCCATTCAGGGCTCGTTAGGAAGCTTCCGGCTGGGCTGGGTGCTGCTTCCATGAGGCTTGAGGGAGTTTCGGTTCCAGGCGGAGACGCCCTAGAAACCCTTGGGCTTGAGGCTGGACGCGGGAGCTCACACTCCCCCGGTGACTCCGCAAGACGCCTGCCTAGAGCACAACTTCCTTGAGGAGCTCCCTGCCTTGTGTGAGGTCTGCAGGAGCCAGGAGGTTGCCAGTGGAGCCAGTTCCCCAGAGTGGGCCCTGTTGCCCCCTTTCCTGGGCATGGCCATGCTGGCATAACCCCCAGGGGAATGGAGAGAGATGTGCCCCCCACAGGCACAGCTTCAGCCGGTGGGACTCCCCGCAGTTACCCTCTGTACCCAGTCAGAGAACAGCCCAGCCGGTGGCACGCAGGGCAGCCTCCACGTTGGCTCAGAGATAAGTCACCCACGCTCCATTCATCCATTTGCTCTCCTTGCACCATCTGCAGACCACACTGGTGCCCCTCAGCGCTGAGAAGCCTGAGGAGGAGAAATCGACCAGGGGCTGGACTTGGAGTTCAAGGCTCAGTCCCACACTTCAGACGTCAGGCGGCCAGAAAATCCCAAGGTGTCCCGCACTCTCCAAGGGCACTTGCTGCACAGGCTCTTCAGGGCCGCCCAGCCAGAGCCCCCCGTCTTTGCCTACCTGATAGAGGCTTATCCTCCAGACCAGGAGTCACTCCATGAGAACGGCCACAGCATCACACGGGGAGCTCATGTTCAGATGGTTGTCCACTATGGCCCCTTTATTCTGGTCAGAGTCGTTGCTTTCCAGGAGACGGCCCCTGTTCTCCATTCCTAGAGTATGACTTCGCATTTGGCGGTACTAAACGCATTTTGTGTGAATGAGCCCAGCTTAACAAGCGATCCAGAGCTCTCTATCGGGAGGGCCTTTCTCATTGTTATTTACCATTCCACAAGTCTTACCTCATTGCAGACCTTATCAGGAGTGTGTGTGTGTGCAGAGTGATCTTATATTTACTTCCTACTCACTGATAACAATATTTAAATGTGGGATCTTGAGCCAATCCCTGTAGCACCCCCCAAGACACCCCTCTTGGGTGAGGATTCCCCAGTGAGTACTCCCTGAGATCTGTCAGTTCTTCATCTGCGTAATGTGTGCTCTATTGCGGAGCCCAGCGCGGGGCTGACCACACCATGCCGGGGGGAGGGTGGGGTGTTCTGGGCTAAGCTGACATTTGAGCTGTGCTGTTTTAATAAACCAGGCCCCAGAACGGGGGTCTTTGATCTGAACACGAGTCTGGGAGCAGTTTTTGAGAACCCCAGGAAGGGGAAACTGAAGCAGCAGCCAGAGGCACTGGAACAATTTGTACAGTGGGGGTGCTGAAAGCCATTGAATCAAACTGTAAACCTTATACCTGATGGAAACTGCTTCAACCCTGGGGGAGCGGCAGCCCCCCCAGCACTCCTAGTTCCAGCCTCTATGGCAGCAGCAGTGTCTGGAGCAAGGAAGGGGGAAGGGAAGTGGAGTGGAGGGAACATCTGGATGACTTGAGGCTACGCTGATTTGATATAGCTTGTCCTGGAATAGTTATGTCTTGGCCGTTAGGAGAATCCTGCCCAAGGAGCTCAGGCCACGGTCTCTGGATCAGGTCAGCTCGGGGCCTAAATGGCCCGTCCCACGCGTCAGTGCTGTGACATTTCAAACACGTTCATTTAGGAGACCTCAGAGATCTGCCTGACAAATACTGACTCACCTGGGCTGCTACCTGGGCCTGGCTCCCCATTCCCAGTTACCATCAGCTCCCCTGCGCCCCAGCACTCCATTGCCTGGTACCCAGAGTCCCTCGGATCATAGAATCATAGACTATCAGGGTTGGAAGGGACCTCAGGAGGTCATCTAGTCCAACCCCCTGCTCAAAGCAGGACCAACCCCAGCTAAATCATCCCTTTTCCTGTTACCTGGAATCACCTGGAGCCCCGGCCCAGCCTCAGTGCTCCACTTCCCTGCGCCAGGCTCTAGCACCAGATTCTCTGCTTTTGGCTCTGGGGAGGGGACCCCCCGTGCATGTTTCCTTGACCCACCCTTGAGGGCCCCCAAGCCTGGTGGGGACTGCAGACCGAGCCTGGCCAATCAGAACAGGGTTCGCTTTGGGTTTCCGGGGGAATTTCATGCACCACTGAGATAAAACTCTCTCACATCAACAGCTCCCACCAGTAGCTGGGCCCTGTCATGAATATAGAGGGAAGGGTAGCAACTGCCTTACCTGTAAGGGGTTAAGTAGTTCAAATAACCTAGTTGGCACCTGACCAGAAGGACCAATGAGGAAAGAAGATACTTTCAAATTGGGGGCGGGGGGGGGGGGAGGAAGGATTTGTTTGTTGCTCTCTTTTGTGTTTCCTCTCCGGACGGAGGGAGAAGCCAAACAGGTACATCATCTCCTGAAAATATACCTGGAATAATCCATCTAAAACCACAGAAATTGTGAGTAGGCAAGGAAATGCGTTAGGTTACCTTTTGTTTTGGCTTGTGAATTTTCCTATGCTACAGAGGCAGTTTTATTCCTGTTTTTGTAACTGTGAAGCTGAGCCCAGGGGGAATCCTCTGTGTTTTAAATCTTTTTATAGCCCTGTAAAGTTACCTTCCAGCCTGATTTTGCAGGTGTGATTTTTTTACTTTTTCTTTATAAATAAAGTTCTTCTTTTAAGAACCTGATTGATTTCAGTGTCCTGAAGACAAAGGGTCTGGTCTGGGCTCACATTGCTAAGGCAATCGGTTGGTATATTATTCTCAAGCCTCCCCAGGAAAAGGGGGTGAAGGGGCTTGGGGGGATATTTTGGGGGGCTAGGGATTCCAAGTGACCCTTCCCTGAATGGTTGTGTAAATCACTTGGTAGTGGCAGCAATACCGTCCAAGGACAAGGAAAGGAATTTGTGCCTTGGGGAAGTTTTAACCTAAGCTGGTGGAATATAAGTTTAGGGGGTCTTTCATGTGGGTCCCCACATCTGTACCCCAGAGTTCAGAGTGGGGGGGGAACCCTGACAGGATACATGACCCAGTAAAACGCTGTGTGGGCGGGGAGCTCTGTTGCAAGGAAGTGGCATTTAGCTGGGGACCTTGGGGGAGGAGCAGAGAGATCTCGGGGGCTGGGGGTGTGCAATAGGGAGAGCGTCTGAGCAGCTGGTTGTGAGTCTGAGCAGCGTGTGCTGGGGCTGAAACAGAGCCCAGAACTGAGCCAGGGTGCCGGGAATGGGGACGAGTGTGAGTTTCTTTCTTAGCTAAACTTTGGGTTGTAGTGATTCTAAAATCACTAAGGGCCCAAGCCAGCAGGTAGTGCATGTTGTAGGGAAGACATGGGGTGTGTGTTATTGTCCCTCTCCGCTCAGCACTGGGGAGGCCTCGGCTGGAGCTCTGTGTCCTGTTCTGGGCAGTGCACTTTAGGAAAGATGGGGATTAATTGGAGAGAGTCCAGAGGAGAGCAACAAACCTGATCAAAGGTTTAGAAGCCCTGCCCCGTGAGGAAAGGCTAAAAACCTTGGCCTGTTTAGTCTGGAGAAAAAGAGACTGAACGGGGATCTGATAATGGTCTTCAAATCTGTGAAGGGCTGTTCCACAGAGGACTGGGATCAACTGTTCTCCGTGCCCACTGGAGGCAGGACAAGCGGCAATGGGCTTAACCTGCAGCATAGGAGATTGAGGTTCGCTAT